TGGGAGTTGATGTTAAAAGAAATAAATTACGATTTTAGCACTCAGTTCAACGAGACCATGCTCCTGGTGACTCACAGTCTTTATGCATTGGGCCTCAGTTTCAAGCCCACTGAGCTCAGTCATACACAAAGATACAAGCCCGCGATGAATGACAATGATTTAAATAAACATATGCAGTATCTAGCCCTAAGAGACCATCTGTTTCAAAGTGGGAATAGATGTATCAACCAACTTGCTGTTTTAGCTGCAAGTATTTTATTCCTGACTTTACTAGAAAGAAAACAGCATAAAGAATAAACCTGGAAAGATTTAACTTTTGATTTAATGGTGCAGGATTTGAGCTAAAAAGTATCAATAGGAGATACTGAAAGTTTACTTATGGTGCTTCTATATCTTACAGTATGAAGATTGCCTAGATTTCTTATTTGTCCTAAGGGAGTACTATTATATCCTATCCTAATGAGTTCATAAATTTAGAGCTTTGTTTTAACTTTAAAAATTTGTAATCCAAAATAATTAATAATCATCTGATGAATTAGTTGAATGTGTTTTCCTACCTGAAGCAATAATCTCTTATTTCTCTTTCTAGACCATTATCTTCACCTTCCACCTAATGTACTGACTGTTACAGAATATTTTTGCTTCCAGAAAAAAGCTAACTCCAAAGATAGCAACAAGAATGATGTCTCACATTGTTCATATTTTTATCTACTTCTCTTAACCATTTGCTCAATAATAGCAGCAGCTTTAGTAATGAGGAAGTAATTGATCAATCTAATCACTTATTCTCAGATAATTCATGTAGAACTACAATTTTATGGTTTTACAAAGAGTACAGGTATTCTGATACTCTTTTAGGATGATATTTTTCCCTTTAAATTTTTGGAAAATTTTCTAATCAGTCAGAACTTTCAAAGCATAAATCATCCTATGAACCAAAGCTGGATTCATTGAGAAATGTTGCAATCTACCTCCCATAACCAATTATTAATTCACTAAATTATTATTTTATGACTTCCTTTGAATTTAGGGCATTATTTTTTATTTAAACAAAATGCAAAGTAAGAGACTCAGAATGAGTTTGACTGGTATCCTACTCATAATGAATAGGAGGCCAAAATTTTATATCCAATGTTCTCTTTTGAACCACAACAGTAATCTAGAACACAGCTCTCATGAATAGCAACACACAAAAAGTAATTATATAATAAAAAAATCAGAACTTTGTACTTTTTTTTTAGAAATAATTTTAGGCTAATTTCTGATAATAAGAATAAAATAGAAATAGAAATATAACCAAAAATTTCATAAATCAAGTATAATAAGAAAGAAGGTAATTTCCCAAATAGCATTTTGGATTGGTCATCAAATGAAGAAAGTAATTAATTTGAAGCAATATGTGAAATTTGCCTTCCAATAAAAAGTTTTTTTTGCTTAAATATAAAGCTCTTTGAAAATAAGTTAGTATCTGTAAGGAGTTGTATATGTAGTCACAAATAAAATAAAATCAAGAGAAAAATTTTGTGATTTCTAAGGATAATTGTTATAAAATCATAAATAAAGCTCAGTTAAAAGAAAGTAATAAAATTTTACCATTAAGTTGAGTAAAACTGCCTTTACAATTGCAAACATATTGATTTAAAAGTCTATAGCCAGAATGAATGATTTCACACAAAAATTGTGTTCAAAAGATTCAAATTGATTTTTTTTTTTTAATTCGACGGAACCAGGGATTGAACTCAGGCCCCTGCGTTTGCCTGGGACGCTCTTATTCCACTGAGCCATCTCCCCAGCCCCCAAAAGATCCAAATTGAAATGTAATATTTAAACACTCAATCTAAATGTACAATAGCATGGTTAAACAAATTAAGATATAGTCATATTAAGTAATATTTTATTTAAACATATAAATTAAATAACCATTGAAAATGTCTTGAAATAATATCTATGACATTGGAGAGGTTAAATAAGGAAATCATATAAAACTAGATACGGATATCTGCAGTTATTTACCCTGGAATGTTGAGCCAGAGGATGGCAAGTTCTACACCATCTTGAACAGCTTAGCAAATTAGTGACATTCTATTTTTTATCATAAATCCAAATTTAATTGGGCATCTTATATTTTTATTTGCTCCATCTATATTCTTGGAAGATAAAAGAATCATGCTTCTTCCTTCCCTATGACTTAAAACTTAAAAAAGAAGTCTAGAGATATCATGTGTTGCAAATTATTTTATTGAATCTATGTTTGCATGATTATGAACCTGAAAAAGATGCATCAAAATATAAATAGAAGTTATTTTGAGTGGTATAATTATGAGGTTCATTTTATGTCTATAATCCAAAAGAATTTCCCAAATTTGTTGTAATGAAAATATACAACTATTATAAACTTTTTAAAAGCCATGAAGATTTGGGTTTTTTTGTTTGTTTGTTTTGTTTTGTTTTTGGTACCTGGGATCAAACTCAGCACCTTGCACTAGTCAGGCAGGTGCTTAGCCACTAAGCTTTCTCCTCAGTCCCAAAGCCATGAAAATCCATACGTGCACTGTTCGGTGAAGTGTGCAAGGGTTTCCTGGGCACACATTTCCATTATTCATACAGACTGATTCATTAAGACCAGTTCTGGAAATGACCCATAGGCCATCCAACGCCCAGTGGCCAAACTAATCCATTCCAGCAGAACTTTGAAATAAAAGAATGCCACGTTTGGGCCCAGGACTCCTGATACTCATATAACATTATTTCGTTCCTGCAAAATGTAGATGGGAATCCGACAAAGACCATAGCTTGTGTTTCTGTACTGTTAGGACTGAAACTCAATGTCTTCTCTAATAGTTCAAGTGCACATATGCTTGAAAGCTAAGAACGCTTGCCAGTCCCCTTCTGATGCCACTCAGTTTTGAATCCCGATTAACTTACTCTTGGGTATGTGTTTCTGGCCCTTGAACTTGAAGGAATATACCAGATAAATAAGTATACAGTAGTTCATATTAAAGTTGTGTTGCTATAAATCTAGCTTAAACTGTATGTTCTTCACAGCAACTAAAGGAAATAGCTTAAAAAAATGTGTTTAAACACAGCTTATTTGAATTTTTCAATGAATAATAAAAATTTCTCATGTATACTTGTCAGAGCTTGTTTATTTATCTCAAAAAGAATAAAAAGTTCAGAGTAGAGTTTTGTTTGCCTTTGGAATTTTCTCTATGGGTTTAATTTTTAGATATATGACGAACAATACAGACAGAATCCTTGAGCATATGATCGAAGCCTTGAGAATCTGAATGACCACAAAAGAGCTTTGGGTGTAACAGTCACACTCTCAGGGCCTTGTCAATGTAATAAGGTGGCATATTTTTAAAGTCCCCTGGAGAGGGAAAAAGACGACTTTTTGTGTGCCTGTGCCAGGAATTCAACTTAACCTCTTACATTTTCCAGGCAAGTCCTGCACCACTGAGCTATATCCCAGGGCAAGATTAAAATTTTTACAAATATTTAACTTCAATCATGAGGATAATTGAGTGCTATAAAATTAAAATTATTTCTCAATTTATAGAAAAATCAAACTTTGGTCTATCATGTCTGAATGTTTATGATACTAACATTCATTCTAAAAGCATATATCTTTGGGAGGTGATTCCTTTGAGAAACAGATTGCTGTCTCTCATTCCCCAGGTGAAATAGATCAAGGGCAAAAGGTGTCATCCACATTGTCTGTGTGGCAATACCATAAATTAATCCCCAAATCCTATTATCACACTGTACAAAAATGATCCAGGTTGATAGAAATAAATACTAACTTTATTTGTTCTTTTATATTATAACCTAGAGATAATTAAAAAAACATATCAGCAGATAACCCATTTCTTACCTCATGATAACATTTTTTCATTCAGATAACAGAAGTTTTTGTTTCACAGTGTAAGTGCTATAACTTAAATTGATTCAATTTAATTAACAAGTATTTATTCACTGCCTACCTGTGCATAGCACTGTACTAGGCATATAAAAGAATTAGAAGATGTGATCACTGTTCATAGGGAGCCCACAGTCTGGTTAGGAAAGAAGATCCATGCACAGAACACACAATTAAAAAGCTTACAAACTACATGAAAATAGTACACTCTCAATTAAAAACATGAAAGTCCAGGAAAGTAACCAACATGAGCAGGAACAGATACTAATTCAGACAAGATAACCAGAGAAACTAAGTCTAGAATTGGCTGGGGAGCAGCTTGGTCATTTTGTGGCCAGCAAAAATGAAAAAGAGAAATTAATGATGGGGCAATAAATATCAGAATATTAATGAGAGAGACAGACAAATCAGCTTAGCTCTGGAGAGGGACATGAGTTACAAAGCGCACCTGAAGGCACATCACAAGACCAGGTGGACGCTGGGTGCTGCGAATCAAAGTCAACTCAGTGTTCAGTAACAATGCCTAAGCACTTCTAAAGACCTCAATAAAAGGTCTCTCTAGCCATAACTAAAAAAATGTCTGCAATGGGACAGCAGTCAGGGTGTCTTTTTTTCTTCTTTTATAAACTCCAGTACTTTAAGATCCATGTCCTCCCACAAAAGTCTTTTACCCAGCACTTAGCATGCTTCTAACTCTCATAAGATTTTTTTTATTTTAAAAGTCTATTCTTTTGCATAATGAACCCAGTGGCAAATGAAAATGTCTTAGATATATATTTGTGGGAGCCCTGAGTGGGGACACAGGTAGAAAAATAAATAATGAGTTAATGAATGATTACATTGAGTATTTCATGTAAATATTTCTAAATATAGATAGAAACAGGTAATATGTTCCTACTCTCAATCCAAGAAAAGTAAAATAAAACAAACATAAGGAATGAAAGTAATTTTTAAATTAATTCATCGATTGTATCCATTATCATATATTACTGTATCCTAATCACTTTTAAGCTCAACTTGTTAGGAAAAGTGTCAGGGAAATAGGACAGAGAACATGACAGTGCAAGAACAAATCTTTAATTTAGAGTAACATGGAGATCTTTCTTGCCCGGGGAGGACTGAGGCAGCCTTCATTGATGAACACATCCGGGATGCCATCCAGAGTGCTACAGAGCAGCTGTTCCCCAAAGCTGGTTCTCTGGAACTTCACATGGGTCATCACTTTAGAAGAGGAAGGGAAGGAGGACTTCTGGTCCTCTGGGAGACTCAAAAAGTTACTGTCCACCGGCTGCAGCTGTTTTCAAAAAAAAAAGAGAGAGAGATAAAAAGAGAAGTGAAAAAGAATTGAACAAAAATTTACTTTTCAAGGTCCATAGTGGTTTTGAGTAAAGTGGCCTGACACTGTATTTTCCAAATGTGCTCCACATTTATAATACTTAGCAATTATATATTCAGATATTTCTGCCATGTCTTTTCTAAATGCCTCACAAATTCTAAGGGCAAGTGAGTGGAAGTTCTGCTTACTTAGGAACCTTTATTAATTGCTACTTCAGCGATGAATACAGAAAGCCGTTCCCTTCAAGTTTTTAAGGCTAGTGTTCCACATGGTACAAAGGTATTTAGGAGGTACTCACTGAGCAGCTGGGCATGTTACAGGAATGCATCAGATAAAGAACATGCTGCAGAATTACATCACGATTTAAAACAATTAAGGTGACAATGAACCTTAACTGGAGTTCAGATCTTGGAAGGTAGATTTATTCCACTCATCATTTTCTGCAGTAATTTTTTTTTTTTTAGCTATGATGAACTGTGCTTTATTTTTTTATTTACTTTGGATTTCAAAGGGTTTTTTTCATCATTTTATTGAAAAACAAACAGCAATGAGACAGTTTCAAATCAAATCGCTAGGACAGTTTCAATAATTAACACACTGCATACATTCTTCTTAGTGGTTGATTGATGTACAAGATGCAGACTTGAGATCCTATTTACAAACACCACTAGAACAAATCATTCTATTCATTAAGAGAATGTAACTATATATCTATCCTAACCACTTTGAATGCACAGATACAAAATGGACATTCATCTGTATACCCTTTTTTTGTTAAGTTCCGTTATTTGAATATTATAGGTGTACAAACTCATAAAATATTCTAAAAGAGTCCAGTAGCTCATAATAGCATTAGGCCTTCTGCTTAAATGGAAATGTCAGAAATTTTTGACCTGAGTCCCCCAAAGCTCAACATAACAGCATGGCTTTACTTCCTATATTTCATCTTCATACTTTTCTACTAGATGGTTAAAACCAAGGTAAAGAAGGACCTATTCAACAAGAGTTGTAGCTTTTGGGTCTGATAAGGTCAGTGAAATCCCCTTAGGATTTATCCTGAGATCCTGTACCTCAGATTGTAGAACCTTTATCACTGTCAGCCATGGGGATGAGTCACGGCCATTGCTTGGCCAATGTGCTCTATGTGAAAGCCTGAGAGAATGTTTTCTCTCCATGTGACTCACCTTAGGCACACTCTACATCATCAATCACTTTCCTCTTTGGTGCCATAATCTCCTTGATCAGAAAATTTGGGACACTACCAAGTTACATAACGTTACAGTACAAGTTCTCATTTGTCCTAAGTCTTAATTAACCTTAGAAGGTTACGGCCAAACTGTTGGCTTCCCGTGCAGCCCTCCTTTTTCACTAATTTTGGTCTGCAAACTTAGGTTGTTAACCATCCAGAAGACAAGCTTATTGTAATTATCAAACAACTTAGGCTATTAAGTGTAACCTCACTGTCTGTCTGAATATCACACATCTTAGGCATATGATGAAACAGGTATTTTTCATCAAGTATTGATATGTTGAACTTTAAGTCCCTACATAATATGATAAAAAAATTTAAAAATTAGATTATATTTTAAAAATAGGATAAAGAATTATATACTTCTCATGTTTGCACATAAGTCAAAAAAA